GTGCAAGTGCAATTTGATAGGATGTCAGGCTCAAATGAGCTTTGTGCAAGGATAAGTCACGGCAGAAAGTGAGGTAGTCTTCCACGACTGCTTTGTAGCTGGTAGCTTCGCTTTGTCATCACTTATCGCAGAGGTTCAGCTTAGCTTTCCTGTGCAGTGCTCTCTTAGACATGGCACGCACGCGGCCACCATGGCAGGCCCTTGAAGTTTTGAAGTTGTGCCACGCATGCAGCAAGTGCTGGAAGGTGTTGGTGCTGACTGCCGCTTTAACGGCAGTCCTGGCCTTGGCAAGCTTCGTAGCAAGCTGCCGAAGCAGTGTGCAGCGTGTAGTTCTTGTGGCAAGGCTTGGCAAATCCTCTTCCGACGCTCCTTGTGCTCTTGCTCAAGCTGGGATCAAGCTGCAAACGCAGCAGATCCGACAGGAGGCTGCCATCAGCATTGAATCAGCATGATGAGAAGTTGGGAGGTCAATTTTAGCACTTCCCAAGTTGCTCTTGCTGTTGCTGTCGTTGCTGCAGCTGCCGCCGGGCAGTTCTTGCAGCGTCAGCCCAAAGGATGCAGTGAGGTCAGCGGGCCTAGCATTTTAGGGATTTTGCCGCGGCTCTGGTCATCAATACGAAGCTACACGTTCTTAGAGCTGCTCACACAATTGCACGAAACAGAAGGCAACACGTTCTTTCTGCAGTTTGGCATCCTCCGATTCTTGGTGACGCCCTTGGTCATTACCCGCGACCCCCGCAATGTGGAGCACATGCTGAAGCACAACTTTAGCAACTATCCCAAAGGGGCCTTCTTTAATTCAATCACACATGAACTCCTCGGAGCGGGCATTTTCAACGCCGATGGTGAGAGCTGGGTTATGCAGAGGAAGACAGCCTCGCAGATGTTTACAGCGAACCGATTCAAAAACCACATATGGAGAGTAGTCAGAAAGAATTGCAACAAGGTCATCAAGCTGCTTCATGAACACGAAGGGGTCAGTGTCGATATGTTCAATGTGTTGAACCGCTTCACCCTGGATTCGATTGGGGAAATTGGCTTCGGCGCGTCTATCGGCTCATTGGAGAATTCTGAGTCGCCTTTCCTCAAGTCATTTGATGAAGCACAGCGGGTCTTGTTCTGGCGCTTTGTGATTCCAGGGTGGCGCCTTCTGCGGTTTCTTCGTCTGGGACAGGAACGTGGAGCCGAGAACCACTTCAAGGTTTTGAAAAGTTACAGCATGAGCATCATCACAGACTTGGCGGACAAGCTGGACACAGAAGCGGGTGACAGCTTTGTAGGCCTCTTCATGAAAGACGACCCATCGCTCTCTCGTGAATTCCTGTCAGACATGGTGCTGAATTTCCTCATCGCTGGACGGGACACCACAGCACAAGCGATGTCATGGTGCCTCTTTCTGCTCATGACATGCAGCAGAGTGCAAGAGAAGGTGCGAAGCGAAATTTGCCAGGTTCTTGGTGATGGTGGGGACCTGGACTACGAGAAGCTTAGCCGCTTCCAGTACCTGGAAGCCGTGCTCAAAGAAAGTCTAAGGCTATACCCGTCTGTGCCGTTGGATTCCAAGTTCGTCGCCAATGCGGACACGCTGCCGGACGGGACATATGTTCCGCGAGGAACTGCCTTGATCTACATGTCCTATGCCATGGGCAGGTCGCAGGAGATCTGGGGCGCTGACGCCTCTGAATTCCGCCCAGAACGATGGCTTGAGATGAAGGGGGTGAAGTCACCCTACGAGAACCCCGTGTTCCACGCAGGGCCTCGAGAATGCCTCGGGAAGCGTTTGGCAATGTTGGAGATGAAGGCACGCAAGCTGCGCAAATTTTTATACTCATCCTAGTGCTTTGCACCTGTTCGCTGCTTGCAGGTGTTCTTCTGTTTTTCAAGGGTCCTTGTTTTTTGCTGCTCCGGCTGAGTGTAGTCAGTCATAGTTAAATCAGAGGTAGCAAGCAAACCCTGACGAAGGCCATGCTGATATCGCTCTTTCAGAATTTCAGGCTGGATTTGACTGCCCCGCCCGAAACCATACGGCAGGATGCGCAGTTGACCATCGGAATGTCCTCTGGCTTGAGATGCCATGTGCAGGCCCTTTGAAAGGTACATATGTTGCAAGCTAGATTTCGAACTTTTTAATGTACAAAGGGATGCCTGGGGGGGCTGGGCAACTTGTGCGCAGCTCCTCACACTTTCCAGACCGTATAGTTCATGTTGCAGCCATCTTGCACACAACGAATCTGCTATTTTCGTGAATGGCAGATGCCCGCCTGAGAAAGCTGGAAAATGCGCATGGTATCAAATGGTATCAACGTATATCAAAGCCCAACTCTGTGAGTCGCTTTGCTGCTAAGGTTTGGTACCTATGGCCGCGCGGCGAGGAGCAACCCGTGTTGCCAGCCCATTGCAATGTTCTGTTGACCTGCAGGAAGGCAAGGAAGGCAGGGGCAAAGAGGCCTGCCTTACAAGGACTGCCGCTCACCCAGAAAACCTTGCGTCGGTGTGATGCAAGCGGCAAGCTTCTCAGATACCTGTTGCCAAGGATAAGCTGGTTTGGCGAGACGGTGGCCGCGCAGCTTTCTTGCAGGAGCAAGAATGAGCAAGATGGCCGGTGCGGCCAGCCAGGAGTTTGCATGCCTTTCCTGCCTGGCCAGGAGATTGACGTCTGTGGGCAGCGTTGTTTAGGACGTCAGGCATGTGCAACTGGGTGTATGGCACGGCGAGGATATGGTCAAAACCCCAGCGTTTCTTTCCTGCTCGTAATTTCACTTGCGCCAGTAGCATTCTGGCACGGATGTCAAAGTGTGAAGTAGCTCAGGCGCCACCTGTGCCGATTGCTTTGGTGGCCCTGGGCCTAATTGGGTCATGCTTGCACGGGCAAACGGCACTCTGAAGGTGTTCAAAGATTAAGGTCTGATCAGCTGCACTGCTACGAAATGTTGGTGGCCCGGAGCCTAGGCAGCGTTAGACGGATGTTGGCATTCTGATCCTGTGTCAGGCCATGTTCCAGAGGCGGCGACGAAAACCGGGCCTGCCGCGCCTGCACAAAGCAGCACTGTCAGCCGCCTTTTGAGGCGCCCCCTGGAAAGATGAAGTCACATCAGAGTGCATGTGCGTCAGGCTTCTTGCTGCCTTGGCAGTCTGACAGGTTTGCAGCGGCATCCGTGACCTGCCTGAGTGGAGCGCCAGTGCAAAGGCAGCTGCCGCAACAGTGGCAATCGTTTAACTTGCATGTGTCCAACAGCCCGTAGAAGGGGCAAGCTCGTGCTTCAACTGACCCTTCCAAAGCTTGGAAGGCGTTGGAAAGCAATTGGCCAAAGTGCTTTGCCAGGCTGCACTGAAAAAGTCAAATGGCGATAAAGATAGCACAGCTCATGGCCGGCCGGAATAAGACCAAGGTTTTTCGACCGTCGCACAGGCACCCGGTGGTCAGCTGCCAGGGTGGCTGAAATTTGTCGCGGCAACCTGGCTGAGTGGATGGCGCCTGGGAGCCAAGAATCGTGATTCGAAGATGGCACAGCCTGGGATGCCATAAAGTTCTCCAGGTGGGCTTTCTTCCATTGCACTCCAGACGAGGCGAGCAGTTGCTGCCTGCTTTAGTCACGGGCCAACAGGGGCCAGTCTGCCCAAGATGAAGGCTGCGGGGACAATGCCTCCGGTTGTCTTAGCAGATCTTAGCAGCTTTTTTTTTTTTTTTTTTNNCTCCATCTCTGACCCCTTTTTTTGGCAGTACTTCATTTAGCCCTTTCAAGGCCCGATGAAATGGGACGACCCTGCTACATTTCGAGCAAGTCTGGACATAAAAAGTCACGTTGCTATATGGCCAGTGCCCCTTGCAGCCATGTGCGAGCCTGTGGAAGTGATTTACAAGAGCATGGAGGACCTTAAAAAAGACATGAGCTACCTAGATCCTGCCATCATGTGCATGCGGGTGACTTTGCCCGGCAAAGGTGTTCCTGCTGGCTGGCGCTTGCGCATGACTAAGCAGGATTTGGGTGAGGTACTCTCCTCTGCATACAGAGACTGGCCTGGCTCCGTTACGTTGACCTTTGAAGCTCCACCTGAAATCGACGAGCTCAAAGATTTGTCACCCCGATCCGCGGATGGAGTCCGTCTAGCAAATTCATGTTATGAGGGAGCAAAAGAGACTGTGCATGCTTTGCTGGCTGCAGATGTGGACCCAGATATGCGTGTCCGGGAGAAAGGAAGGAACTCTGCTCTTAACCTGGCCGCGCGTGGCGGACACCTGGACATCATGCACCTCCTATTGGACCGACGAGCAGATCCCAACTCGCGCAACGATTTCCGGGAGACACCACTTCTCTGTGCAGCCAACCGCGCTCGAGGCAATGCGTGTAAGTTGTTGCTAGAAAGACGTGCCGATGTCCATGCTTGTGATGAAAACGGCGACAATGCCCTGGATTTCCTGGGCCCAGGCAACTCAGAGAGGAAGAAACACTGCCGTGATATACTGCAGACGGCTGGCTGCCTCCGGCGCTAAGGGCAAGCATTAAAAAAGCGTGCCTTCCGGTGAGTTATCAGGTCGAACCCGGAGGCCAGCCACTTAAATGAAACAGGGCAACAACTCAGGATGTTCAACCCCAAGTCTAGCGCTCACTCAAGCCTTGCCCTCAAAGGCCTTGATGTTTGTTTTGGTCTTTACCCACAGATCCGACCGCATTTCCCTGATCAACATTTTAGGGTTCCGAACCTGCTAATGATTGCCGGGATCGCCTTCTGTGCCTGGACTGTGAACACCTGAAGATCTACAAGTAGCATGAGGAGATGTCCACAGTGGTGTGCCCCTACATGATGAGCAAGGTGATGAGCCAATCGAATAGAACATAGAACGGATATCAGAGAACTCATGGCACCGATAGCCTTGCTTGGTTCTGGGTTCAGTGTTGGGACGTTTAGGTGCACGCCAGGTGTCAGAAGACAGGTGGGCCGAGCTGGTTCAGCTGGTGGACGAAGGCTGGCGGTTTTAAGCAAGGGCTCAGGCATTATTCTGAAGACCTCTATCACCTAGCTGCCTGAAGTGCAAGCCGGAAGCGGTGTTTTGAGAGAGTGTATCGGGGCATCATGACCTATGCATTTGCAGGTGCTTGCTGGGCTGGCATCGATTTCCCGGAAGGTTACAACCCACACGTGCAGGCTTCTGAGGGTTTTGACAGGGCGCGGCATTTGTGGGAAGCATGGATGTTTTGCATTGATCTTCCTGGAAGGCAATGCGATTGACGATGGTTGTGACCTTAGGAACTGCTGTGTGTGTTCAGACTGTCTCAAAAACTGTCGGGTTCTGGTTTGTGCCAAAGGATCCAATTCCGTCTGAGCATCGCCCGATGATCTACTACATTGCTTGATTCTAAGATTACACTTCACACAATGATTTGGTTTCAAATGTTCTCGATGTTTGCAGAGTGAGGTCACAGCTCTAGCACTTCCTGTCCGTGCCTTAGTGTTTTGGGTAGCTGCTTAGCTTCTGGTGCCTAACGGGTTTCCATCGCGGATGTGAAGGTGGTAACCCACTACAACTTGGAGAACTTGGGCTTCCGCAAGCATAAGATCGGAGCTCATTTTGCTGTGTGCAACAACTGCTGCTGCTGCTGCTGCTGCTGCTGCTGCTGCTGCGCGGCGGGTGGCGGTGGCAGTGGCAATGGTGGGTGCTGGGGTTGGAGTTGGAGTTGTGTCATGTTAGCTTGTGATGCTGTTGCTGCTGCTGCTGGTGGGTGCTGATCCTGGCTGTTGTTGGTCTTGTGCCATGTTTTTTGTTTTGCTTGGATGTGTGTCCTCCTGTGCGGTATCTCGGTTTTTTTGTTTCTTTCTTTGCCTCGATGTTGGTTTTTTCGCTTGCGCAGAACTGGCTGCCAGGAGTGGTACCCTTCAGTACTGGCTCCGGCCGGGACGAGGTAAGCGAGTGGTCCTCAGATGCAGAAAGTTCAGGGGATTTCAGTAGCCCCATCTGCTTTGTTCTGAGGCACGGAACCCCCTATTGTCTTCTGCCACGGTGTGGGGGTCAACTTGCTACCCTACGCAGCTGGGTTGCAGCAAAGCGTGTCCCCAGCAAGCCGGTGCTGGGCGCTTGGACATGTCACGGTCTCTGGCACGTGAGGAGCATTTCATCACGGAGCTGCTGAGGCCCGCATCATTTGCCCAGAGTGTGTCATTTTTTCTGTTAGTTGTGCTGATCCCATTCCAGCTCCTAGGCAAGTGCCAAAGGGCAAGAGCATCTTCCTCGTGTCTTTGCCGCACATCTCGATGCGTATCAAAGAGGCGCCAGCCGAAAAGCGTTGCCTTTAAGCGCAGCTGGGCAGAAGGAAGCATGTGAGGACGTGCCCTCGAGTGCTGAGATGGTGGCATGCCTCCGAGATATGCTGACAAGCTGGGACTTTGACTCGGTGCCTTAGCGGCGGCATGAGCCTGCTAACCTATGTTTTAGCCGAGTGCAGGGCGGCTTCCGTGCGCGGTGGAAATGCTAATGAAGCGCCGCGGGCTGGTAGGCCCACTTTGTCGGGCACTCCTTTGGCTCCATCGTGGTCGCATGGATGTGCAAGAACGCCAAGGAAACTGTGAAGGGCTCGGATGCTGTGGGTGCAGGCGGCCCGCTGTGCCCAATCATTGCCACGTCAGGTCAAAGTCGCAACTTTCCTGGATCCTGTGTGCTTCCTCCTCATCAAGCCCGATGTGCGCGCTCCAGCCATCTCCGATGTTGTGCCCGCAAGTCTCGTTTCTTGCCAGGTTTGCTACAACTTCATGTACAGACAGCCCGAAACTCCAACGCAGCTGCTGCTACACTATTTCGTCGCACGGGAGCTCTTTATCGCGCAATCTGGCTTGGCGGTCGACGCAAATTGCGTATTGATGCGTGTGGTGCGATTGCAGTTCAACTCTCACTCTCAATCTCAGCCAGACGGCCACCAAGGCATAGCCTGTCCCGGAATTTCTTTTGGTACCAGAACTTACTTTGGCCCGAGGCCAGCAACTTGAAGGTGTTGCGGTGTGGAGGTGTGGAAATGCAGTGGCTCCAGAATTCAGGAGCTGGTGATGCCTACGCTGGTCATGCTGTCCGGGACGGACTCCATTGCCGCGGCCAGAGTTTGAGAGTATTTGTCAGAAATACAGATTCCCGAAGTCGGCCCCGGCCCGAATTGTGGCGTGAGGTTCCTGCACATTCTGTGGCTCGGCTGTGCGCTGGAGCTGGCAGAGAGCTCCAAGAGTGAGCAGGCTTTGAGACGCCAAGGTTCGCCGATACCTGACGGGTTGGCTGCAACAGCAAAGAACGGACACCTTCAGGCTTGTTGCCATTGCAAAGACTCCCGCACACGCTGCAAGAAGAGTCTTGTTGCAGGTTACTGTGGTTTCCGAATCTGGGCCATGGAGAGATGAACTTCGGCCCTGTTGGGTTTGAGACTGAGATGGGATAGGTGGCATCATGAGCGGTAAGCAGGGGACAAGGTAAAAAGCAATGTGAGTTTGCCAACACCTAGCTAGTGTCCTTGCACAACGAGGCTGGCCGCCGTCAAGCGTATTGTTGCTGAGATGATGGCGCTGGAAGCCAGGCTTCAAATGGGCCGCCGTAGGTAGTTGCTCAGTTATTCTTCTGCTTTCTCAATTTTTTAGAATCTTAGACCTAGACCTAGATGCAGGCCAGGGCAATCCTTGCCAATAGATGCGGGCCCTGGAATCATTTTGTGTCACCCAGCTCAATGGCGCTGCTCTAACGTACACTTCCATGACACCTCCGCCCACATGTATGACACAATGAGGAAGTGGATGTAGTGTCATGGCAGGCAGCACGTTGGAACGAAGCGGAAATTGAGCTATCTGGATACTTGTAAGAAAGCATTCGTGCCACAGGTCGCTGGGTGAGTAATTTTGCATTGTGCAAGCACAAAAAAATGTTGGGACCGCAGCCATTTGCTCGACCATGCGGAAGCCACGCTGACAGAAGAAACGATTCCACCGAGATTGAGTTAAGGCGCTGTTGGTTTCTGTGGCTCACAGCGCTTGGTTTGCGCAAATGGCAAGGACTGGAGACTGGAGCGATGGAGCCGCTCTCGCCGACCTCGGCTCTGATTTGCTCCTCGCAGAAGCGACACAAAGACCATGAACAGATCTGCTCCAAGAGGCGTTTGAGTCAGAGATGTTGGAGTTCTGAGGCCAGTCCTTGCAGTGCTCTCCGCCCATCGCAGTGGCAGCTAAGCTCAATTCAGTTGTGTGTGTCACAGTGTCTGCCAGTTATTACTCATGAAGTTTTACACTTCTTTGGTTGAAGCACAGCTGTGCCTCGGGGTACAACACGCTACCATGCGTTCCCGTTCAGGAAATAGATTCAATCAGTCAATCAGTGTGGTCAGCGGCGCGTGCTTTTCCGGAAGGTGCTGGCGTCTACATACGTAAAGCTATCATCAGCAACATGCTTCCCCTTGACGAGCATCAATCTAAATGAGACCCTTTTTTCACGGGAGGCAGCCCGTGGGCTAGTCTCTCAAAGAAAGTCTCTCAAAGAAGTGATTGCGTTTTTGACAAAGCCGATGCCGGATCCAAGAGGTCCACGAGCCCGACCTGCGGAGGCCTTCCAGTGCAGGAGCTCAGACGACATTAAGTTTCACGTAGAATCGAGAGCCGGGAGTGATTGGGAGTAATCGGGAGTGGCAAGGCAAGGCCTCTTCTGGCTTCGATCCGACAAGGAATGCAGGAGCTTCGTTTGAAAGTTTCAGCGCCGCAGTGAAGCTCCGCAGTTCAGAACCAGGCTCAGCAACCCTGTTGACACACAGCAGTATCGCCAGGCCTGCCTTTGCTACAAAACAACGCAAGGTTTGCCTGCCAGGTGCAAATTACATGTCATGTGATGGCCAAGGGCGGCTGCCGACATGGTTCTCAGACCAATGTCATCTGGTGCGCCCCTCGAGTTGGGATGTGAATCCGCCGAATATTCCAGTGACCACGACCGCGGCAGGTGAGGTCAAGCCGGCACGCAAGGTTTCCAAAGAGGTCACGAGCGCATCAAGCGCTTGCCTTGGCATCCTGAGCACTTGACTCAGACATCAAGCAAACTCCATTCTGCTCTTCGAGTCTTCCAGGCTATGGCGATGAGCAGGCAGTTTGCAGAGCTTTGTGTTGCTGCATTTACTGCTTTTAGGCTTTAGATGTTGCCAGGCAGAGGACCCGCTTGCAGACAGACACAGCAACAATCCTGGTCTCATCATCTTGTGGTCCTTTGCGTGCACATAAAGGTTAAAGCCTTTGCACTCTTTGAGGCGTCCGCTTGCTGTCCGAGGACGAGGTGACAGAGCGCGCTGCCAGCGCTTTGAGTTATTTCAGGCAAGTCTCGGTAATGCTTGGTAGGGCATGTTAGTTAAACGGCTCCGCAAACGGCCCCGGACCCTTGCAAGGGAGACGCGCGAGATCAACCATCATGCACGCAGCGTCGAGGAGATGGCCGACACCTGAGTTTCCTCTGCTCCTGCAGTTCCAAGGTCCTGAATGTTGCCACTGCGAATGCTGGTAGAATTCAAGCAGTCAGTTCAACAGAACACGTTTGACACATATCCGTTCATATGGCAAGTCTGTCATAGTCATGTTTATGCATGCACGCGCGAAACCGATGCGCGCATGGAGTTTTTCAACGACTGATGGTTCCTAGTGCTTAGATGTGCTTAGTTCCAAGCGATTCCCAAACAGGTGCCACCAGGTCCGCAGGCCATAAATAAACTCCTATCGCTCATAAGTGCATTAATTACCAAGCAATGCCCGAATTGATTACGAGGAAACCTGTCGAAACCTGACAAAACAGCTATGTGTACAGTAGTGTGTGCTGCAGTATTCGCCAAAAAGCGCCCAATCTTCGCAGATGTGCGTCTACGTTGGTGACCCATAGGCAAGTGAACTCACGATACATGAAAAGCTATTGTGGTGTTCAACTCCGGGGTTAGTTGGAAAGTGCAGGAATGGACTAGCTGGAGCATTCCTTGGCAAGTCAAGATTTGCAACGTAACAGGCCCCCACCCAAGTAATGTACAATGACCCTACCCGTACCCAGGTGGGGATAATTACATATTCTGGGTGCGGTTGCC